GGTCGGCATGGTCCGCTTGTCACTGGTCATCTGGTCGGCAGGTGGGCGAGACCTGTGTTTCTCGCTACGGGGGCAGCTGCTTAACGATCGGACAGCACACGAGCTCGGTCCACTTCCAATTGGTGGCGAACAGTGCGATGATGCCGTAGCGTCTGTCGTCGGGACACTGGGCGGTCCAGGCGGCGTTCGGGTCGGCCGCCTGCTCTTCCGTCACGTCCAGCGTCGTCTGCGACGCCAGCCGCACCTGCACGCAGTCTTCGCCGACGCTCCAGCCGGCGCCGACCGCCGTGCACTTGGCGTGGCGCGGCTGCTCCAGGTAGAAGGGCTTGGTGATCAGCGAGCGCTTCGGGTCATGCAGCGCCGTGATGACCATGTGGACGGGACAGGCCGTGTCGGCGTTGCCGGCCGTGTCCAGCAGCGGCAGCAGGCGCACCTTCTCGTGCAACAGCCGGAAATCGTTGCCGGGCCGCGCGCACTTGAGGTAGTCGATGTCGGCGCTGTGCGGGGAGTTTAAGAGGGACAGGCTGTCTGCGATGGCCAGCAGCACGTCGTGGCTGGTGTGGTCGCGGTTGCAGTCGACCGGCCACGGCTGGCCGATGTCATTGGGCAGCGGGCCGACTTGCGATTCGGCGGGCGTCACCCGCCGGCTGGCGTAGGCCGGCAGACACGCCGACGCCGTGTCCCAGTCGCTGACGAAGCCCGGACGGCACTCGCAGGTGGCGCTGACGCCGCAGCGGCTCTGGTTGGTCGGACAGTCGGCGTCCTCTAGGCACGCGCCGCTGGCGGGGGGCGCGGCGGCCGGCGGCGCCCAGCGCACGTACGTGGCCGCGCCTCCCTCCGCCAGCGGCGCCGGCGCGACCTGTTGACAGAGCACGCAGCGGCCGGCCTGGAAGCGGAAACTGTCGGCTTCGCGGCGGCTGGCGAGCACGGCGCAGACAGTCTCGGCCGGGGCGGCCTGGTCGGAGCCCACTGGCTGGCAGCCGACCGGCTGCAGTCGCCAGCTGACCGGCTCACTGGCGGCCGGCGCCAGCAGCAGTACAGCCAGCGCCGCCAGCGCCGCACGCGGCACCGCGCTGATGAAATGACCAGGAAACGGTCTCTTGGTCCCGCTGGTGGGCTGACCTGGGGATGGCTTCATGGCCTCGCTGGTGGGCTGACCTGGGAATGACTTCATGGCTCCGCTGGTGGGCTGATCCAGGCCTCGGGTCGGCCGGGCGGCGGCTGGGGTCACGATCCGTGGGCCTGGATCACAGTCGAGGCGACGATCGTTCTGGGCCGGTGCCCGCCGACCGACTGGCCCGGCTTGTGCGTCGCCGGCCGGAGCCGGCGGCTCCACACAGGGCCGCCGGAGGTCGTGTTCCGGACATCACGCGGCGAGGAGCCATGGTCTGCCGGCCGGCCAAAGCGCCCGATCATTGTCCTGGCTCTTTTCAGCAGCTGTGCGAACGGAGACAGTAGTGAGTGTTTGGTGTACACCTGTGGTGGGCGCCTGCCTGGCCGGGCCCACACCGGGCTGGCACGGGGTGATTGGTCACCTAGTCCAAGTCCATGGTGCTGTCACCATCCCTGATCGGCTAGACCTGTGTGACGGCCGTGTCTGTTCCAGCGGCCGACCTCGCGGCCGATTTATTCGTGAACGGCAGGAGGACAGTGCGGCGGCGGCCCTGCCCTATTCAGAACGTGTCTTTTGTGTCAGTGTTACGGACGTAACGGCGCATGCAAACCCCCGTGGGGGTTTCTATCATAAGGCCTGGGGACCTGTTCACAAGTGTGCGGTGGTGTATGTGTGTTCGCTTGCAGCAGCTGTGACGCTTCCAGCTTTGGTTCATGCGTCGGTGCGCGCAGACTGCCGTTGACTAACACAGCACGTGTAACTATTTTCGCTCATAGCGTTCACTAGGCGAAGTGGAAACGTCGCGTATGCACCGGACTCTTATGTTCTTGATCGCTAATGCATTTCTGTATGTGCGTAAATAACGCATACAATGCCAATGACGAAGGCGTTACATGCTTGGTGAAGTGAATGACCGTTCTTTATACGACGGCCAGTTTGCGATTATCGGGTTCAATCATCAGCTGAATGGGAAGTATTCATTCGGTCAATCTCACCACTTCAACCATGGCACGGTACTGTTCCTGAAAACGAGCAAGCACAGGCCCCGCGAGCATCGACCCGCAATGAGCGCCTAATGCCTGCTCATTCATGGGTGATGATATGGCCCGGTGATGGTGCCGGAAGGCGGGTAAATCAGGTGTCGCACGGCATGCAATAGCAGGCTGTAGTTCTTCCGACGTAAAGTGCCCCTTGGTGATGGTCGACATCGCAGGTGGTGTGGTACAGATAGGCCGCCGCTGCTGGCCCGCTGTCTAGGGCAGGTGGTTGGTGCGGACGGGCCCGTTGCTGCTGGCCCGCTGCCCGGGGCGGTCGTCTGGGACAGGTGGTGTGGTGCAGACGGGCCCGCCGCTGCTTGGACAGTTGGTGTGGTGCAGGCGGGCCCGCCGGTGCTGACCCACCACCCGGGGCGGTCGTCTGGGACAGGCGGTGCGGTGCAGACGGGCCCGCCGCTGCTGGCCCGCCGCTTGGACAGTTGGTTTGGTGCAGACGGCCCCGCCGCTGCTGGCCCGCTGCCTGGGTGGCTGTCTGGGACAGGTGATTGGTGACCACCTGCAGCCAACCGGGTATGCTGTAGGGCCGCCATAGCGAGTGAGGCCAGTGTATCTCGCCGATGAGTCGACTACGGCAGGTCTGGCGGGCACGACCCTGGCTCGGTGGGGAGAGCAGCTCACATTGGGCACGCGCTGGCGGACGTAACGCATCGTTGATGCCGTGGCCACGGGTCATAAGGTCTGGGCTCAGGTACTAAATTATGTATCAGTTGAAAGAAGTATACAGTTTTTGATCTTGCTGTTGCTTCAATGAGCTGTTTCTGCTTCTTTGTGTGGATGATAAATTTTGTGATTAAGATATGATTGCATAAGTGCTAAAATTACTGCTATTGACTTACCAGGGTTTTATCAGTGTATGCTGGCAAAGCCTTTTAACCAGCTGGCAAAAATGAACGGTGTAAACTAGAAACTGGCATAAGGTAGTTTCTGTAGGCTAGAATGCCAACCCGGACCTTGGAAAGAGTCCCGAAATCTTTGACAAAGCACAAACAGCGTAATAAAGCCTCGTTTTCAGTCAGTGTAGTCTGTTTACTGGTCGGTTAATGATGAGACGTAGGCTGAGGCGCGGCAGGGGAAACACAGATGTTTCATGGATATACCGCTTTGGTGCTTCATTACTTCAGTAGCGCCAAAAACTGTTTTGTGCAGCTCGGTTTCAAAATTTTCCCAAACGCGGGTTTTGAGTGCGTGTATTGCTACGTACGCAAGGCCTCACGATGCCGGAAACCGAAGAATACGATCACTGCTGACGGCCGACGCTGACGTGCAGGTCCAGCGCCGGCTCTGACGTGCAGGCCCAGCGCCGGCGCTGGCGTGCATTCCTGGCGCCAGCTCTGACGTGCGGGCCCAGCGCCGGCTCTGACGTGCGGGCCCAGCGCCGTCTCTGACGTGCAGGCCCAGCGCCGGCGCTGACGTGTGGGCCTAGCGCCGGCTCTGACGTGCGAGCCCAGCGCCGGCTCTGACGTCAGTCCCAGCGCCGGCGCTGACGTGGGGGTCTAGCACCGGTGCTGACGTGAGGGCCCAGCGCCGGCGCTAACGTGCGGGCCCAGCGCCGGCGCTGGCGTGCGAGCCCAGCGCTGGTCGTGCCGCAACGGCTGAGACGCTCCCCTGGCCGTGGTTGGGCTGTCAGCCGGCGCTTGTTTGTGTGGGCCCGCGGTGTGTGTCAGCGGGTCTGACCTTCGGCCGGCAGCCGCTCCGGCGCGCCGTGCCACCGCGTGCCGTCCGCACAAAGCAGATGGGCTGCGCCGGCATCGACGCGCCGCCCTGTGTCGATGCCGTTGCCATGGGGACCACGCGGCGTCGGGGCGCTGCGCCCGTTCTGGGAGGTGTGAGAGAGCGCGCGCGCGTGAGAGATCAGGCCGTCACCAGCCGCCAGCCTCGTGCGGAGCAGGCGCCGCCGCCGGAGGCGCGCTGACTGCCGGCCGTCTGACACCGCCGCAAGCTGGTGAGGTCGGATCTGGCGGCGCCGGCCCCAGGCAGCACCATTGCCGACCGGCCGCGTTGTGCTCCCCGCGCCCGTCTGCCGCTGGCCCGAGGCCTGACCATGTAGAGGAGGGCGGCGTGGTTATGCCGGCGGCTGCTCCGGTGCCGCCGTGACGTGGCTGTGCCGGCGGCTGCTCCGGTGCCGCCGTGACGTGGCTGTGCCAGTAGCTGCTCCGGTGCCGCCGTGACGTGGCTGTGCCGGCGGCTGCTCTGGTGCCGCCGTGACGTGGCTGTGCCGGCGGCTGCTCCGGTGCCGCCGTGACGTGGTTATGCCGGCGGCTGCTCTGGTGCCGCCGTGACGTGGTTATGCCGGCGGCTGCTCTGGTGCCGCCGTGACGTGGCTGTGCCAGTGGCTGCTCTGGTGCCGCCGTGACGTGGCTGTGCCGGCGGCTGCTCCGGTGCCGCCGTGACGTGGCTGTGCCGGCGGCTGCTCTGGTGCCGCCGTGACGTGGCTGTGCCGGCGGCTGCTCCGGTGCCGCCGTGACGTGGCTGTGCCAGTAGCTGCTCTGGTACCACCGTGACGTGGCTGTGCCGGCGGCTGCTCTGGTGCCGCCGTGACGTGGCTGTGCCAGTAGCTGCTCTGGTACCACCGTGACGTGGCTGTGCCGGCGGCTGCTCTGGTGCCGCCGTGACGTGGTTATGCCGGCGGCTGCTCCGGTGCCGCCGTGACGTGGCTGTGCCGGCGGCTGCTCTGGTACCACCGTGACGTGGCTGTGCCAGTAGCTGCTCCGGTGCCGCCGTGACGTGGCTGTGCCAGTAGCTGCTCCGGTGCCGCCGTGACGCACGCTCGGTCCGGCAGGAGGCGCCCGATGGTGTCGCTGGAGGCGCCGGCGCCGGCCGCCGCTGACGGCGCCCAGCCGCCGCCGCCGGTGCCCGGCCGGCGGCCGCTGGCGCTGCAGCCGGCCGCCTGCACTGGCAACGCGCTCGGCTTCACACCCACCCAGCGGGTCCTGCTGCAGACCGGTCAGTGGCGGCCGGCGGGGCCGCGCTCGCGGCGGGACACGTCCGGCCTGCCCCGCTCGACACCTGCGGTTTACGCGCTCCTCGCTGTATGCGAACCCATTTTTGATGATAGTTGGGGCTTTAGGGCGCGCCGACTTCTAGGTCATTTTGCGCTCAGTGAAAGCATGTGCACATGTGTGTGTGGTGGCAAGGTGTTTGCGAGACAGCTTAACTCGCACCCGATATTCCCATTGGCTGCGCACACGTGATGAATAATGACCCGCCTAATGTCATATCCAGGGGGTTTGAAACTCGGTTGTGATTTGATTCATTGGTCGACGATTTTGTATTTTTTTTTCCGTTTGGAACTTCGTTAACCCATTGCAAAGGGGAAGAGGACTCGCTCACAGCCGCTCGCTCAGAGGACGCTTCAGAAGAGCGAATTATGCTCCGCGTGAGCATAGTGACTGACTGGCGTTGTCCCCGGTTCTAAAGTCAACGCTGAAATGCTAGGCCCCCGCAGCTACGTCAGCAATTTTAGCCAGCTCATGGAATTGTAAATGTCTATGTCACATCTATTTCCATTGTAGCCGGAATGTTTTAGATGTAGGCCATGCCAGGTCATTGGCTCAGACGGCTGTACTTTGCTGCGTGTCGGAACAAAGTGTAGCTTGGTGAACATCTGCTAAAAGTGATGCGCTCCAGCGTGGTTATTCCCCACTCTTGTGAGTTTCTCATCTCGTTAGCGCGCTTTCCTGACATGCAACTAGTATCTTGAGACTCAGTAGAAGAAATCACACCGCCTACGTCCAGTGACCCACTACGTCCCCCTGTCACGTACCTCCACGTGACAGGGGGACAGGGGGGTGACAGACCAGTGCCGCGACGCTACACGTACGCGTAAAAAGGCCCTGCGGGTTTTTGATCGGCACAGCGCTACGGGCGACTCAGTCGCATTTCCACCAGCTCGGGCGGCAGCCCGACGTACTACTTCGGAGGCAAAGCCCACGTCGTGGCGCTCATATGTGGACCGGCGGGTAAAGCGTATAGCAGGCCAACACTCCTCAGTGCCGCGCCCCGTGCTTCGTATAGATGGCCAGGACATACTGCACCCATCTGATGTGGCGAATGAAGTCGCTCGCGCGTTTGCGGAGCGTTGTGGGCGAACAAATACCGTCCCCGAGTCTATGCACCGCCGTGCTCGTTGCAAAGCAGCCGAGGTAAACTTTCATGCAGCGGAGGAACTCCTATGTAACAAAACTTTCACAGTGTGACAACCTCATAACAATGCGACCTAAGAACATAGCATATAACCATAACAACATAACATTGTAAACAATAAATAAAATGAATATAGCCAACATTTCACTCAACTTTGTCCGCAATTGAAAGAGTGCTTCACATTTGCATGGGGTTTCGAACTGAAATAGCCGTCTTGAACATCACTCGGTGCAGTTCACATCCCTGCCGTTCTTAAGACCTAAACCCCTCTATTTTCTAAGGCGCACGCCCGCGGACCTCTTTCGAGGAGACTAGTAGACTAGTAGACTAGTAGCCTCTGTCGAGGAGACTATTTCAAAGTCAGCTAACCATTCATGACGCTACAGTAAGTCATTCAAATCCTGGCGTTCCAATAACCACGCGGCGCTCAAAACCAAGACAAGTATGATTGTTTAGTTGCTTGTATCTGGCGTTCGTGAGCACAATTTCCAGCTATAACGGCCGTCAGTTGGCTCTCAGTGTTGCGTAAGATGCGGTGATGTACTCAGACAATGACGTATTGAGGAGCAGTACTCAAGCAATGACGTATTGAGGAGCAGTACTCAAGCAATGACGTATTGAGGAGCAGTACTCAAGCAATGACGTATTGAGGAGCAGTACTCAAACAATGACGTATGAGGAGCAGTACTCAAGCAGTGACGTATTGAGGAGCAGTACTCAAACAATGACGTATTGAGGAGCAGTGCTCAAGCAATGACGCATTGAGGAGCATATTTACTAAACAGAGAAGTTGTGTTGTCTAAAGCAGTATTTTCCACGTAAAGTATGTCAATAGTCCTAAGTTACCTAATCCTATCATATCTGATGCTTGCTTAAATGTCTTCCAATGTGGACCATTCCCTTCAACTTTCTGCGCAGCGTGACGAAAGGCCCAGCCCTCATTTATAATGATATGCTCCGGTGACTCCTACAAACAGCAGCACAAGGGATATTGGCGGCATGCAACCAGTTGTGGAAGAAGAGAAAGTTTCCGACCACTTGGCGGAAGTTGTGCATAGTTCTGCTGCAAGGGCTAGTAAGAACGTGACAAATTCTTCTGACTACCGCTCAGTGGCACTTACCTCGTACATGTACAAAGTTGTGAACGAATGGCTAAGACACGATTGTCTCGGTTTTCAAAAAAAAGCATTTTTACAAACGCTATTGTGGTTTTAGACAAACCGTAGCATTATTGGTCATATTTTGCCTTTTGGCACTAAGACACCGAACTTGTTGAAATACGTGTCACGGACATAATACGGAGCAGATCGGAAACTGCTTTTATTGTTGTATCGTCCACTGCTTATATCTAAACTTGACTACGGTGTGTTATATATATGACCGTGCGTCCACCTCCTTCGAACGTCGTTTAGACACCATATATCACGCATCACTGCGCATAGCAACCAGTGCGTTCGAAACGGCTCCAGTTGCAAGCCTTCTGGCAGAGGGAAACGAACAGCCGCTCTCATTTCAGCGTGAAATGATGCTTGGGATGTGGTATGCTCGTAAATTGGCGTAGTTCCTTAAACATCCCACCTGCCCGACAGCCTTTTCGTGGAAGAACGTCTGTATCACTTTGAACAGCGTGACCGGTCCTGACGCGCTGTGATATAATAGGAGACAACTCGCGCTGCCTTGAATCTAGCAGCTCTCTTTGTTTCTTAAAAAGGTAAACTTGGACACTATTGACACGGCTCATTAGTTAGGTAAAAGCGTCGTTTTCAGCGCCAAATGACCACTGCAGTCAGCGCGCCGAAAAAAGCTGATAAACAACACGTGTGACGAAGCGTTTTAGAGACAAACGGAGAAAGCTCGTTATAATTTAGAGACGAACGGAGAAAGCTCGTTATAATTTAGAGACGAACGGAAAAAGCTCGTTATAATTTAGAGACGAACGGAGAAAACTCGTTATAATTAAGAGACGAACGGAGAAAGCTGGTTAGAATTTTTTGCTTTAGCTCCGGTAGTTGTTCCGAGAGAACGGTCTAAGACGGAGAGGCGTGTTCAGGTGTAGTCGCCTGATGTGAACTCCATGTTAAGTATGTGCTCCAATTGTTGGTCTTTCATGGGCACGGGTTGAAAAAACGAAGGCTTGTCACGCGCGAGGTACTTTGGTTGGGGCGCTGGGGCTTATTACCTCATGTGAAGAACACGTAACGACTTTTGCAGACGGAGCCAAACCGGATCGGGCGCTGGCTCTGCGTTCGTTTGTGGCCATGCCTCTCTTTCATTCTCGCTGCCAGAACACGCCTCTGTGTATACCGCAGAACTTGCTGCCGTCATTAAAGCACTTTGCTGCACTGAAATTACTGGCGATAAACGTCACTGGGTCGTATCTGACTCCGTCAACAGCCTCCCGGCTCTCAAGATATTTTACATTCAGTGTCCTTTTTCAGGACATTCTTACTCGCTTAACATGTTTGAACGGCGTGAGGACAATGGTAGTGCTATGCTTGATCCCAAGCCACGTAGGGATTGCGGGCAACGGGCTTGCCGACACCGCCACAAAGCGGGCCACCCTTGGGCCTTGCACACGTTGTTCTCCGCTCCCAGCTAGGAGCTTCTTCCCAGCCATCACAGATTGGCGACATGTTGGGAAACGGCTCTTTATTTTTTTAATCAGGCCAGGTGTTTCTATTTCTAAGACTCGTAAAGTTTTCAGGGGTATTTACTACTTAATAGTTGAGACATAGCACAGCCCAGAACAGCCGTCATGGGCGCAATATGACCTTTGATGTCGACGCGTCCTAAAATCTCAAATCATGTTTTGATCCACGGGTCGCATGAGAGTTCAAGATGTCGGATGTTTAAACATTTCATGTCAAAGGATGTCATCATGTCAGTGACTTCATGGGCTAGTTTAAGACCATAGACTGTTTGTGGAAAAGTTAGAAGCAGCCTGATTTGGGGACAAGTCGTATATAAACTACAAATTTAGGGATGAATACCCCGCACCCTGCTTTTTATCGATGCCATCTGTGTCATAGCTCCGGGACAATCTTGTCATCCCGCTCCTCGCCGTCCATTGCGCTCTGTCTTTTGGTCTGGTTAGATTGGAGATGCGCTGACCTGGAAGTGTTAGCTGTGCTGTGGGATCTAGGAGATTTTACCATGCGGAGGCCCTGCGTCGGTGTGCGTGTGCGTCTGCGTGTGCGTGCCAGGACGGCCGTGAGACCGACTCATGCCTGGAGGCCGGAGCATGCTTCTGATCAGACAAGGCGCTGCGAGAACACATCATGAAGCGTTGAATGAGTAATAGAGGTAGTTCGTTCTCTCTCCTAGTCGGCTCTGAGTTGGCACTAGTCATTCAAGTCCCGTCATTGTAAAGATGCATAGTCTCCTCTGGTTCAGAAAACAAGCGTACGGTTCCGCAACGCGCTCTTACCATTGGCACCGGCTTTTGACAGGCCAGGTGAATGGACAACCAGTTATGATGCTGACACCGGAGGTGGCGCGTAGCCTGGGCATAGTTCTGCCATCTCGTGGAGCCATGCCAACTCGAGATTACGCGGCCGGCGTCAGGAGTCCGGAAATCAAGTCTGAAGTGGACTCGGAAGTGAGTGCTGATGTCTGGCCGTATCGCCGGAAGCCCCGTCTGATCTTTTGACCCCCACGACAAGATTCTGCTCGTATCCTGGCGTGCGTTGACATGAACACGGTGGCGTTACGATTTATGCCGCCTTGAAAGCGATGTTTTCCCCGCGTATCCTTATGGTGGCTCTGAGCCTATGTCGTCTCCCTTTACTTATACCATGACTGAAAGCTGCCTGTGCACCGTGCAACTATATACTTCGGCCAATGTTTCACATCAGCGAGGCTGTAATGGCCGAGAACGACCAGTCAACACAGTCGCTGCTTCGTTGTTCACAGATGATAGACCCCGACCAGTTTCTGGAAACGGAATTGGCTTCTGGGAAGCCGGAGTCGGTGGTGGACGAGGACCTGACATCACTGTCATGGTTGCATAACAAAAACCTGCTAAAGGGTGAGCGTCATTAACTGAAGTACTGTAGGCTGAGCGCCCGTGTCTGGCAAGCTATGTGTGCGTTTCAAGTTCAGCCGGGTCCGTCCAGCTTCTAACGGCGATGAAGGCCGACGATGTTGACCCCAGGCAAATGGCACGTGTTATTTGAACTCGTTCAAGTGTAACTTCTGTTCTTGATTCACATGGTGTATTTCTTGTTGCCATGTGTCGTTCGCTCTGTACGCTGCAATGTTGATGCAGTATTGTCGTTGGCATGAGTCTCTCGAGAGCCTGGTGGAATTTCCGTGAACAATAGGCATTGATGCGGTGCGGGTCCAGTGCCCAGACGCGTGAGTCGTGGTAACATGTGCAATTGTGACAGCATTTGTCTTCTTTTTTTTGCTTGTTAGGGTTAAATATCTGCCTTATCAATTAACGATTTAATCCTTGTTTGATGGGACGAGATGATACCTGTTCAGTCACGGAGTTGTCTGTTGTCGCGTGTCGGCTGGCTCCCGGTCAGTGTGAGCTCCGTCCGATGATGCCTGGTGTGGCGGCCGGCAGACATTCAGCTGCGGCCGGCGCCGGCGGCCGTCTCGCCGCCTGGCGAGCTGTCGCCCGGCCCGGGGCCCGGCCACGGCTCCCCTACCTCCGACTACCTGGAGGAGGCGTCCGAGCCGGCCGACGAGTCGCCGCTGCGGCCGGCGCCCGACGCCAGCCGCTTCAACTGCCGCCGCCAGCCGCATCCGCTCGCCTACGACCCCAAGGTGGGTGCGCCGTGCGCCGCCCGGCCACCGAGGCGGGCTGTCGTGACACGCTGGTACTCGTGTCGTTGTGGCGCTGCTAGTGTACTGGCTGGTCAATTAGACTGGTGCGGTTGACTGATGCGAACGGAAAGTGTTAAGCCCTGTGGTTCTTGTTTATGGTGATGAATTTACAAGTGCCTCGACATGGTGGAGAGATCTGGCTGCTGACAGGATTGTCTGGCCAGACGAAATCTATATTGCTCACCTGTATGACGGTTGAGGCCACAGGCTTGCTGAATATTGCTTGAACTATGGGACAGTGTTCTCCTGGTGTGGGCCGGCACACCCCGACGCCTCACCGTTTTTGGAAGCTAATGTGATTACGAACATTCATGACATCCTTATGTAGCTTCCAGCAAGAAGAACCGCAATCGTCTGACACTTTGATTTGCTGTTCGTAGGCATTTGCGAGCAAGCTGTTGGCCAGGCGGGGCTTTTTCCAACATTGTAGTATCACTAAGATTTAGTCCCTTATTTTGTGAACCCTCGCCCTGATTGAGGGGGGAGGAGTCGAAGCGCCCCTCCCTTAAGTTTTTTCTGAGAATGTCTATCCGTCATGTCGTGCAATCGCGCCCAAATTTTTAATAGCCCATCGTGCATCAATCGCGCCTATTTTTGGCACCAAACATCTGTCCTTAGCATCTCCGGCTTCGGAATCCCGGCGGCTTAGGTGAACAGTACACGGCGTTCTACGGCCAGTGCGGGTAGCGGGCGGTAGTCGACGATTCCGCAGACCGCGCGCGCGACGAACCGACACTGTTGCACTAACATAGCCATGCGTGATCAAAATATATCAAAAACACCTACAAATACCATTGCAGTCAGGATTGGCCGAGGAATATGCCTGTTTAGTTTTCGTGTCGCGACGAGTGTGGCCTCACGCAGGTAGGCATGTTACGCTGAGAAGTTTGATTTTCAGGAAAATTTTACCTTTGACCTGGCATAATTAGAGGAATTATTACGCTAGAAACGTAAAGCTTATTACCAAACGTGAGATCCCGCTGAGATCAATTCATTAGTGTTTGCCGTTAGGCTCAGCTTTGTTAGTTAAGAAACGGCATCGGGGTGTCGCATTGACCCTCCCCCAATCAGTCCCCGTTATGAAAAGCGGCGAATCAGGGTGAAGGTTAGCATGAAACAAGGAAGGTTTTCAAAATGCGAGAAAGTCATGTCATGTCATGTCATGTATTTATCACGAATCGTTTCATATGCTTGGATTGATATTTGAATCAAGTCAATGGGTTACAAGTCACACGATAAAACGAAGTCGAATAATTTGGTTGGAAATCAGGCCCAGATCTCGACGATCCGTCTTCGCAGCGCTAAATAATATAACAATCCAGGATATATGATAACACAATAATGTAGCATAACCGCAGCACAGAATCCACTACAGATTCTGCAGACTTCATCTGTGGAGGACTACAGTCCGTCTTGTAGCTCTTTTTACTCCGCTTTGCGGGCCCGCGGGCTGATATGTGGCGCCTCTAATCTACAACGCTTGACGGCTGCAGAATCTGCAGTGAATGCTGCAGCTATTCTCTGTAATGCGCTAATGGGCCTTGATACATACCGTCGTGTGGCCGGTTGAATACCATTCGCTGGGGTTGGTGGGGTTCAGTTTGAGCCCCGCCCAACAAACAGGGTCAGAATCCAGATTAGTGCCCAAATTGTCTCCAGACCTCCTCACGCAACGGCCGTGAACCTACATACCTGATCGAAACAAAATGTCAGTGGTTTTCATTTAAGATCATTGACCTTGTTTGACCCTCATGAGGGTTTAGTGAACAAAAACTACGGGATTGCTCCTATTTTGTCCTTGAAATAAGTATCAGGGGCCACGCTAGAGGGCATGTTCCTAAAAACAACATGTTGACCTGCTATATTTTAGGTCACTAACCAACTCCCTGACCTTAAAAAAGTCCATGGCATATATCTGTTGCGGTCCCTATTACGAATAGATTCGAAATGAACACCGCCAACTGACTCATGAAGCCAGCTCTTTGAGTGAGAAGCTGGTTGAATTTGTTGTAATTCTGAATTCAACTGGTTTATTGCCTAAGAAACTATCTCAGAGATGTATGGATTCGTCTCACCTTCTGTTGTCACATCAGATTAAACGATTCCCCAGCAAATAGCCTTCACCTATAGCCACGACCTGGCTTGGACCTGCCATAGGTTTAGCAATTTTGCGGGATGCATTTTATTTTTTGTACCAAGAGACTCACTATTCAGCTGCCTGCAGTTATGCAATGTTTGGCCTAGCTTCACCGCGCCGTTCGAAAATCATTCTGGGAAAGCCTTCGGGGGGGCAGGGGCAAATTCACCCCTACCCTGGCGCATGTTAATACCCGCCCTTCATATCTGCACGTTTTGTAACATTTTTCTCATCAAGGTGTCGAGCACGTACGATCGGTAGTCTTTTCATCGCATCAGTGGTATCCATGGGTCCTGGATGCTGAAGGCTTCCGGCTGCATTGGCGTACCGACCTTCCCACACTGTGCAATGCGTCGTACCCTTTGCTTTAGCAGGGAATTCATCATGCTCTGTGTTCAACCCACTGACCTATAAAAGTCACGCCGACATCTCTGCAAACCACGCTCATCACGACACAGCCCTCCTACCGGCAATGCTGGGTCGCCTCAGTCCCGTGACGTCCGGTTCACAATCGTCGGTCTTCTCCGCCGGCGGCCCGTGCGGGGCTGACGAGTGCCGCAGTACGGCGCGGTGGGGCTTCGTCCCGCGCTGGTGGGCATTGTCAGAAGCCCCACCGCGCCCCCACCCCACCCCACGCAGCGCGTCCGGCCGAGGGCATGGGTCCAGCGTCCGATCGGTCCGAGTCGTACGGCCAGGGGTCCAGCGTCTCGTGGCCGCGGCAGCCAGCCCGCGTGTGCACCGACGTCGATGTGCAGTTCTCGGCCGCCGCTAGTGCCGCTCCTCAGCGTCATCTTTCTTGCTTGGTCATTTGACGTACGAGTATCATTGTAATGAGGAAGCTCTTCGAAACTGCAACATTGTGAGAGGCCTAGAATGGAGTGTTATTTACAGGCGTCGTGTTAGTGAGACAGTTCACTGTGATCGCCGGACGCATGTCATTTGTCGTCCATGAAAGTGATCCGGGGTGCAAACAGACAGTTTGTGCAGGATAGCATGGCCTGGCATGTGCGGACTAGAGAGACCAGAGAAGAGCGCGCACATGGTGCAATGTCCGTGCGGAGGTGACGGCAGATATGGCATGTGTACTGCTGCGAGGCCCCTGTGCCTAAAAGTGGAGCTAAACTTGTGTGACCCCAACGGTCTGATGTCGATGACTGCAAGGACAGAGTAGGTGGGACGTGGTGACCGAATGGGGGACCGGAGTGGCCACCTTGATAATAGCGCGGCCAGCGCCTTGACGTGAATTCAAAGCTGTAATATATATACATATATATATATATATATATATATATATATATATATATATATACATAATATGTAAGTGTGCCTTGTGTTCGTGATGCGTTCGTTCGACAGCATAAATTAGGAGTTTGCTTCGGAAAGCATTCGACCTGCAATTTTCGAGGAGGCACTGGCTTAACGACATTATTGAGCCATCAGTGGTTATGTTGAGAACATTAGGCGATTCATAGCTGTGTTCATCGTCAGATTTCGTTGTGAAAGTCAACTGACACTGAGCCGATTTTTCTGTCGCTCTGGAACACACCACACGAAATGTGTCGATTCCATTCGTGGACGCCCTTCTTGCGATGAAGTCAGGTGGCAGATAAATCGTCGAACTTACATTTGAATCCGTGGCCGCCGCTATCATATTACGTTATGATTCGGCACACCTACATGACTACAAAGCAAATAGGCCTTGCGTGTATCGCAAAGGCGGAGAGTGGCGCGTGCATATTCTGCGGAGCGGTTACCCGTAACACCGAGTGAGCTCCTCCGCTTGTGCGGCGCGCTCTCGATTAAAAAAGCGGGTATGCGCACAGGTCTCGGGGGCACGTCCTTCCTTACGAAACGTGTAACGTGCATTAAGAGACGCGCGACTAAGTGCTGACAGCTCAGAACTCCAGGCAGACAAGTAACAATGAAAATACCTCGAACGCCAGATGCTGTTAAGCCCCTAGCCCCTCTCCGACGCTTTGGGAGTGGCGCCCAAAGCGGCTCTCGTGCCGTGTGGCGATGGTGGCCTGGTTAGCCGATCGCTCTGCAATACTCCGCGCTGCTGGTCGATGAGTGGCGGCATCCCCCAGTTGGCGGCGGCCCACCGGCCTCCTCGCGCCACAGGCTGGCCGACTTAATGACCGAACATCTTTGGCGATTCTGTCTGCTGGGGCCATTTCCTACGCAGGCGGTTGCCATGGTGACTAATTTGACGTGATTGGCTGCGGTCGGTGCATTGTCGATGGGGGATCGTTTCCGCCGGGATGGTCGTGCAAGACACTCAATCAGAGGCACGGATCGGCCTGATTGGCTGTCCCGCGCCAAGGGAGCAAAAAGGCTGAGCATGCGCCCGGCTGCCGTGAGTGGCGAGCCACTGGTGCTTCCGCTTCAAGACTTACAGTTATGTGCCCCGTGTGGCCGGCTTTTCACCCGTCTAAACACTGCACCGTGAAAGTTCCATGAAACCTGGAGATGCGGTCAACAACGAAAAACGTGGCATGCAGATACGCCATAATTTTGCTCATGTGTTCAGGACCGTGCAGTGTTGGGGAGGCAGGACAACACAATGTTCTCGGCAATATGAGATCGCGCATATACCGTCCACCACAAATTTCGATGTACGATGCCATTGTTTTGGGACTGGCTTCCTCATTTCGAAGCGAAATATCATGCACATCCCTCGGAATTCCTTCGTGTAAAAGCGTTTAACTGCATGCCACCCGTAACGACGAGGCATCGTCAGATGAGACTGGCACTCTTGTGATTGCGCTCGCGGCTCAGCCAGCCGGGCCCGGTGCCGCCGTCTGGGCGAATGGTGCGGCGGCGGGGACGGCGGGGACGGCCGGCGCCCGCCGGGCCGCGCCGACGCCGGAACCGGAATCGGCCAGGCGCCGCGGCCTGCCCGCCGGCCGGCAGCACGCCGGCTGCCCCTGTGAGTGGCGCCTGAACGCCTCGGCCTGCAGGTGGTCGTCCTCTAAATGACCCCGCCTTAGTGACGCAACTATCAGTCACCAACGTCAGACTGTCCCCCAGGTCTGCCCCCCCCCCCCTTTGATTGCCCGTCCTCCGAGCCAGCCGCCGTTGCAGTCGTCTGTCCTCCGAGCGGCCACCACCGTCACCGTCTGTCCTCCGAGCCGGCCGTCGCCGCCACTGTCCGTCCTCCGAGCTGTTTATGCTGCTGATGTGGACCCGCAGGGACGTGCGCCGCGTCGCCGCCGCTGGCGGGCTGTGCTGTTGAGCCTGGCCCGTCTGCTGGCGGGTCGCGCTGTTGAGCCTGGCCCGTCTGCTGGCGGGTCGCGCCGTTGAGCCTGGCCCGTCTGCTGGCGGGTCGCGCTGTTGAGCCTGGCCCGGCACCGGGCGGAGTGACGGCGCCCGGCCGGCCGCCGCCTCCACTGCCGCCGACCCCAGACTCCAGCGCAGGCCTGGACACGCTGTCAGCCCCCCTCTCCCGCTTGTTGCAGGTGCACGTGCACTTCAAGCCGCCGTTTTCGTTCTCGTGCCTGATCTTCATGGCGATCGAAGACTCGCCGCGCAAGGCGCTGCCCGTCAAGGAGATCTACGGCTGGATCATGGAGCACTTCCCGTTCTACCGGGCGGCGCCCGTCGGCTGGAAGAACTCGGTTCGACACAACCTGTCGCTCAACAAGTGCTTCAAGAAGGTGGACAAGGTGCCGGTGAGGCGTAGGCGCTGTGTCAGACGCAGGGAGGCTGTTGGCCAGCCGCAGGCGCTGTGTCTGGCTGTGTCGAGCGCAAGGTGGCTGGTAGCCGGCCACAGGGGCTGTGTTGGGCGCAGGGTGGCTGTTGGCCGGCCGCAGGCGCCGTGTCCGACGCAGGGTGGCTGTTGGCCGGCCGCAGGCTCTGTGTCAGGTGGAGGGTAGCTGTTGGCTGGGAGCGGGCCGTTCGAGCTCCGTTGTTACCCATGTTGCACGCTGATGACCAGCTCCTGCTGATGGGTAACTTGCTCGAGGCGACGGATCGCGCTTCTGTTCGTATCGCTTGGGAGTCGCTTCTGCAGACGGGGACAGTTGCGGCGGTGGTTGCGTTATGGTGTTTCTACGCGCATTCAATCATCGGGGTGCGCATAACTACCTTCCTTGAAGTTAACATAGACAAAGCCACGCTTATTCCTTCGGATGGACGCGATCCATGGCTTTCCGTACGTTTGATTTGATTCACCTAAAGAGACATAGTTTACCGTAGTTGTGCGTCCAGAATGGACATGGTCCATGGTGTCGTAACATGCTCTGGAATGCATTTGGCTGATTTAATCAGTGTGGTTGTTGATAGTAGAAGTGTCTTCGATGGCTGGACACCGTACGGAAGAGCCCTCCGGGGTTTCAGGACTCATTTAGGTCAAAAAGGTGTACGATACACGATAACTTGATTGCAGACTTGCGTGAATCTCAGGATAGGTGTGACTCTCAATGCCGCTCGGTCTTCAGCTCTAATGACTTCGCGCTTGCGACGTGCGGACAGGCGTGTAATGGCACCAAGTCAAGTACGCCGGCCGTTATCCCCCTGCGGTATCCCGGCGCGGGTCTCGTCATCACTGAGTGCCGTGTTAGAGCGGCGCATGGTTCTGGCGAGTTGACGGAAGTCTCTCGAAGCCGCGCAGGCCTGCTCTGCCGGGGCTGCCGATGTTGAAGGGACGGCCTGTCAGCTAACCCAGGGCCGCCTCCTCCGCCGCCAGTGCATGGGCAAGGGCTCGCTCTGGACCGTCGAGCCCATGTACCGGCTGAACCTGATCCAGACGCTGAAACGCTCGCCCTGCGTGCACCCCTGGAAGGTGGAGAGCGACTCGGCAGGCAAGCCGTGGGCGGCGGCGGCCGCCGCGCTCGGCCCGGACGACTGGCCGGCGTCGCCGCGGCGCGTGCGTGTGCCGCGCGCCCGCTACTGCCCGCCGCCGCGCGCCGACCGAGGTCAGCCCCAGCGTGCCCGCTCCCTCGTCACGCACTCGATCATGTGTTTGCTGAGCGCACACATATGCGGCTAGGGCGCTCTTCATGCTTTTGAGATGTTGTAGATGCATTGCATGCCTTCGGTCTGGCAGGCGCAGTACAATTTTTAAAGTATTAATCTTGTTCTGTGCCAGGCAGATTCATCTTCCAGTTGAGGTTGAAGTCTAAATTAAGCAAGATGCCATCGTGCTCAGATGTGCCGAGAAGTCCTCATCTTTGGTGATGGTGCCACTGGGGATTGTGGAGGATCTACGCTAAGCAGGGGGGGGGGGGGGGGGAAGGACAGCAAACAAAAAGGGAAAGTAAGTGGGTTACAAAGAGGAGGTGCGAATGATGTACATCAACCATGTCTTAACGGCATACCAATGGTCTATCCGACAGGCGTCTGTCCTGTGACGGGGCGCTCTTAACGGCATACCAATGTTCTATCCGACAGGCGGCGAGGAGCGTCTGCCCTGCGACGGGACGCGTAGCAACGAGAACTTGCCCAACCCGGAGCTGTTCCCGTTCTTGGCGCGCCGCCTGTTGTCGGGTGCAGACGGCAGTACTGCACGCGACGTCCACCAGAGCGGCGTTGACGCCATTTCGCTGGCCGATGACCGCCTCCTCACACCAAAGCTCGGTATGTGGTGACGACGTCAGCCAATCACTTCCGCGGGCGTGAGTGAAAATGTACATTTTATGCTGGCGCGCGGTAGCGCATGGAATTGGCTGTTTTTAAATATTTCTGACGTACTACAGCTGTTAATTTGGGAAGGTGACTAAACGGCAAGGGCGTGTATCAAAGTATTATATGAATATGCATGCATATGTGCATATATGAACATGCACCTTACGTGCATTGCGTTTTTCAGCAAAAACGTACAAGCGGATCAGAGAAGGAGACTTCGAATATTTGGCTACGGGGAAGATGAGGAAGATCGAGAGCAAACGTTTGGTGAGTCAGAAGTGGCATGGGCGATTTGAAGTGAGGCGATCAGTATTGCGATACACCAGTTTCAGTCACATGATGCCTTGTGTAAGTGTGTTAAGCATCGTTTTATATTTCTTACGTCATGTTCTTCATTGCGCGTAGTTAAGTTGTTTAGTCTTTCAGAAACAGCATTTGGTGCCGGTATTGTGTGTGAACGATTTTACCGTATCATGCCCTTTCGTTAGTTGTACTTTTTCGTCACTGTATAACTGTGGTAACGAGCGTCATGCGTTTCTCTGCAACTGTATCAGTCTCGAGACATTGTCATAGTATGTACTTGCCCACAGCTCCTGAAAATAAGCACTGTCTTGGTTTTTGTCCAATTGCTTTCAAGTGTCAGTCCGGCCCGTGCTGTTGGTGTCGCCCTGACTTTTCCGCTCGCTTGTAGTCTTCCTGAAACAGGCCAGTGTCCGTTGTTCAGTGACGGCACACTGGGGAGGACAGTGCAGTGTTCTTCCGGGATCGCTGCTGATCGCTGCTACCCCGATAGTGTTCTCGGCGGTCCGCTGCTGGCCACTGCGCCCCCGGCAGTGTTCTTCGGGGACCGATGCTGACCACTGCTCCCCGACAGTGTTCTCCGGGGCCGGCTGCTGACCGCTGCTCCCCCGATAATGTTCTTCTGGATCTGCAGCTGATTGCTGATCCCGGCAGTGTTCTCCCGGGTCCGCTGCCGACCCCTGCTCCCCCGATAGTGTTTTCCGGGGTCCGCTGCTGGCCTCTGCTCCCCCCTCTAGTGTTCTCTAGGGTCCGTTGCTGGCCTCTGCTCCCCGTCTAGTGTTCTCCAGGGTCCGCTGCTGACTGCTGTTCTCCCGATAGTGTTCTCCGGGGTCCGCTGCTGACCACTCCTCCCTGGCAGTGTTCTCCGTGGTCTGCTGTTGGTCGCTGATCTCCGGCAGTGTTCTCCGGGGTCCGCTGCTGGCCGCTGCTCCCCCTATAATGTTCTCTGGGGTCCGCTGCTGACCGCGGGGTCCGTTGCTGGCCGCTGCTGGTCGCTGCTTCCCCCCTCTAGTGTTCTCCGGGGTCCGCTGCTGACTGCTGTTGTCCTGTTAGTGTTCTCCGGGGTCCGCTGCTGACGTCGCCGGCCGGCCGGCCTGCATCCGGCGTGTGATGATGATCTCCCGCTCGGCGGCCGAGGATCACACGTACGCCGTGCACGAGCGAGAGCGCTCCGGCCCGTCGGCCGCCGACAGCGAGGACGAGGCCTTCTCCGACGACTCGAACCTCTCGCACGAGCCCAGGTCAGAGCAGGTCAAGTCAGATAGCGTGAGGGCTGTCCGTTCGCCGTTTCGCGGGCGACTCACGTCTGTACACTGCTGTCGTCCAAAGGCAAAACCCCGAATGTTCATTCCCGGCCATTTTGCGTTGTTTTATGTCATCTAATTCCTCTCGTCATGCTGAATGCGGATATCTAAACCAAAGTTGAAATATTCACAAACGTTTAGCGGAAAGAAAGGGTTAAAGGCTTGCGACAATTTAAATTGATTGTTTGAATAACCGAATTCATCATGAGTAGACGAATCAGGTGACATAAAGAAATCCAAGACGACCAACATTAACATATGGGGTTTTACCTTTGGCGGCAAACTGTACCGGATCAGAGACCGAGAGAGAGTCGTACGCTAGCAAAACGAAAATGATTGTCCGGCCAGCGGGATCACTTGTTCAACGGCCGTTCTCTGGAGTGTAGCCACACTTGGCACGCTGCGCATGGGGCAGAAGCCGACTTTGTGTCGGCTGTGGGTGTCGTACACGCCACGGCTGCCTGGTGTGGAGCCTGGTTGAGCCCAGTGGTGATCGGTGCGGAGATGGTCGGCAGAAGGGCCGCTACGATCCAGCCGCTGTCACGCTGTGTGTCCCGCTGTGGAGTGGACCAGCTGCGACGGTCGCCTGGCTGACCTGCGCCGCTGTCGGCAGCGGGCGGCGCGGCGACCTGACTCCCGAGGAGGTGGAGCGACGCTTCATCGAGGAGGGCGCCGACCTCCTGCTGAACCTGGCCGGCGTGCCGCGCTCGCGGTCGCCGGCTGAGCGGCGCCGCCGCGGCCGGTAGGCCCGCCGCCGCCGCCGCCGTCGCCGTGCGTCGGCCTGTAGTCCTCCTGTTGTGTGGTGGTGTGCGCGTGCGTGTGGTAGGGCATCGGTGCGCCAGAGCCGGGCGATAGCCGGCAGCCCATCATGTGCCAAAGCGGACCGGGCGGAGCCGGCGCCTGCCGGCCCGGCGGCTGCTCGCGTTAGAGCTCGCCGCCGCCGTTATACACTGGCTGCGCGGCGCGGCGATGTCAATCATGCATAGTTCTCAGGCGGACGACGGACGCATATTTCTGACCGTTTGTCTTGCATACCATAAGGAGTCGAGAAACAACGTCGAGTTTACCGTGTTTGTTACGTCGACTTGACGCTTTTACCCTCCGATATTCGGTGTGTTCGTACATGGTGTGGTTAGGCCTATTCCCCTTGGGCGTTTGGTGTCCCGCGCTCCACCGCTCTCTTCGCTTCCCCCGGGGCCGCAAAACGAAGGTGCCGTTTGGCGTCGGCGCGTTTTCACGTTAGCGTTTTCATTGGTCTGGTGGCGCTGCGGCATCGGCATTGTCTGTTGGAGTCGCGTTGGTATTGTCTGTTGGAGTCAGCGTGTACAAAGCGGCGCTCCGAGCCGGAGCGAGCGTTGCCCCGGCTGGGGACGGCATACAGGCCGGCTGGGTCTGGCCCCTGTCGAAGCAGTAGCGAGCGTACAAAGCCAGTCCACCTTCGTGGAGCTGTTGAACGGCGCTGGGCAGACTCGGCCGGGCGACTGTGAATCAAATACAGGCGTAGTCTGGTGGTAACGCCGTGTGTTCCTGACGACAGGGAACGCTGTTGGCCTGGCCACGGGCGAGAACACATTGTCGGTGTCTGCGCCTTACACCGGGTCCAGTCTTCCAACACCGGGCTCAGCCCGTCGGTATCCGAGCCAACACCGGGCTCAGTCCGTCGGTATCTGAACCCAACACCGGGCTCAGCCTGTTGGTATCCGAGCCCAACACCGAAACTATTACGTTGAAAGTCGAAACACAAAGTCGAGCGAAACGCGAAGCGTACCTAGGATAGCAAACTTCGGGATCCCTCCGCGCCCAAACTCGGCGAATTCTCGCTGTGGCTACCAGATGGACGGTTCATCCACTCGTCCTACACAGACAGGACAGTGAACCGGAACAGGCGGCACATTATTTCTAGATAGTTGCCATCAATGAGGCTTCTTCGTTGGAAAGACAGCTGCAAGTTGTCTGACACGGCCGCGAATCTCAGGGCAGTCTAGTTGGGTCTTTGAATGGTGCCTGCAGGGAACCAACCTAGACGGGTAGCGATACCGCGACGAAGCCCGTGCCAAGCAACCACAAAACCGCTTGCGGCAAAGCAAAGCACCTGGACACGACAGGCGCGCTCTGGAGGGCAGTGACTCGAGCTCCGAGCTCAGTGTGCATGCCCATATGGCGTTTGTAATGCGCGGCTGGCGGGTAGCGTGTGAACCGAAAACAATAGAATTCAAAAACCGACGAGTGTATTGTACTCGCAGTTGGCCATGTACCAGGGCTATCGAATGCACACAGTCGCAATCTGTCAGTTGAATAATAAGCGTATTTCCCGAGCCGCCATCACCGGCTTTCATTCTACATGCACACTGGGCTAAGGAGTGATTTGATCAAACAAGGTCGTCTGCCGCTGCGATATTGCCGGTTGATACCGCCCTACGATGATATCGTTAGTAGAAGGTTGCATCTTTCATCATTTGGCTAGGTGCCCAGGTGAGATCATTTGTCTAGGTGAAATGTGCTCATTCTATTACCACCCTTTAAATAACCCTGAGCCCCTGAAATATGATGCATCGAACATTTGCTGCTGCTTGAGCTTGGTTCGAGCGCTCGTTTCCCCCCTGAAGGACCGAGCGAGGTGAAGAGCTGGTCGAAGCTAGAGCCCGGTGCATACTTTCCTGACTGCACGAAACTCAGAAATGATCTTGGACATAAAGGGTTATTAAATGGCTGGAGGTCATGCATGCCGTCGGGAAGCGTGAAGCGTGCCACGTGCTGCAGCCCTGGTGAGCGGTAAGATCAGCCGCGGTTGTCTCGGGATGTTCTCGTTCGCATGTATTATGGCAATGTTAAAGTTTCTGCTGATGAGCAAGGCACGGCGAAACAGCTCGACTGTCAATAATCACACATATCCCAATACCATTGGAATAACAACGCAAATGGCCTTTCAAAATCAGAACAGCTCTCGATTGCACAGCAGTAGGCCACCCCTTGACGCCGGCGGCTGTGTCATGCCATTAGCCACTCGCCTCTCGAATGAAAACCAGGAATGTGGCCAGTCACGCCAGCGACACATGATGCCAGCTGAGCCCCGCGCGCCCTGCCCCGATGTCGGCTCGGTGGATGCCCGGGCGCCTCAGCCGAGCGCAGCGCGGTCGGGCTAGCGCGGCGGCACGGCACCGGCCGAGCGGGCGCGCTGGTTCTGGCGCAGCCGGCGCAGCGCCGCGGCCCGCCGCCTGTTGATCTCAGCCTGGCGCAGACGCACCGGGTCGGCAGGCGCACTAACCGTCGGTGGCGCACCGTTTGCCCTCGCTGGCCTGGGCGCCGCCGGCAGCTTCTGGTGTGTCACGGCGCCGCCGCTCCGGCCCGGCGCCGCTGCACCCGACCGGGCGCCACCGGCCGTGCCGACCGCCGTCGCAGAGACGCCGGTCGTCCGACTCTGCGTGCCGGCAGCCCGGCCGGGCGGCGCCGGCCTGGAGCCGCTGGCCGCGCGGCAGTCTGGCACGGACGCGGGCCGGGGCAGACCGCGGCCCACCGCCGCCGGCCGCGGCACGGCTGGCTCGACGTGAGCGCAGGAGTCGCTACTGACGCCGCTGGAGGACTCGGCCGGTGGTTCGGCACCGCCCAGCGCCTCGTCCGGGATCTGGCTGAAGATCTCGTCCTCCTCGTCCGGCATCGCGTCCATGACGAACGCGTTAAATGAGTGCGAGCGGCGCGGACTGGACGACTGCTCGGCCATCTGGGAGCAGCGCAGCAGCGACCGCTCCAGCTCCGGGTCCGACTCCATGTCGGCCGGCGCCGGAGCCGCTGGCGGCGGCGGCTCAGCAGCGGGCGGGCGCCGACACAGGCTCTCGGCCGTCTCCAGCAGCGCTAACAGCTGCATGTGCTGCTGGCGGGTGGGGCGCTGCGCGCGACGGCGGCCGGCCGGCACCAGCGGCGCCGGCGAGGCGGCCAGCGGCGCCGGCAGCGGCGGCACCCGGTCGCCCGGTCGGTGCACGGCCCGCTTCAGCGCCTCGGCCCGGCAGCTCGGCACCTCGTCGTCCCAGACGATCTCGCACACCTGAGATAACGGCGGCGGACTGAAAGGCGAGATCGGCGAGTCCCAGCAGGCCGTCTCGGCGGCGGGCGGCGCGCGCAGCGGCGTACTGTAGGCGTCCGGTGCGTGCCGCTCTCGCTCATCGCTGCCGCCGGCTGGGCTGGGACTGGTGAGGCCGCGCGACTCACGCCGCGACAACTTGGAACGAGCTCGTTTCAGCACAGGCGTCGTGTCCATGCTGGCTGGCTGGCTGGCACTGCTTGACAGCAGTGCACAATGCCAAGGAGCTCAGAAACCTGACAGCTCAGTGTAACAGCTCAGTGACCTGAAACATGGATGAATCTTTGTGTCTGCAAGCAAAACCATGAGCCTGATGAATCCTGTTATCCATTGCCTAAATCACATGCGCAGTGTCAAACAAATGCCTGGATCCCAAACATGAATCTATGATCCTATAGGACTCCATATTGACAAGATCCTTGGACCTTTTAGCCAGTTCAAAGCCTCAAAATTGTGTATCCTGATCCAGGATATTCAGATCCTTTTTATGGCTCCACACTGCGGGTTCATCCGGTGTGTCAATTAAAGACAAGTCACTCTGTGAGATCTAGTGAAATCAGAATGAAAAGTGGCACTCCACCATGAAAATAAAATGACTCATGTATATCCATATATCCATGTGCCAAATGTGCATGCAATGAAAGCATTACAAACACCATAGCTCACTCCTGACACCAATTGTGACTTTGCATCATGAAATATGTGTTTTGGTGTTATGTTCTTGAGCTTAATAGCAGGCACAGCAGAGAAATTGTGACAATGTGAGAATACAATCTTCCATTCAGGTTTTGTCTGACTGAAAATTCAACAACTGAAAAGGTTTATAAGGTGCTTAGCATAGCACATTGAAGTGTTATGCCTAGATCTCCTTGACTCAAATGCTGTTGGATACCCTGTACAGCCCAGGCACATTTCTAAATCCACATAAACTTCATCCAGATCCAAAGAGTGTCAAATGTTGCATACAAGATTGTCTTCAATTTAAGCAACAGGGGAACAATTCTTCAAGAAATTATAATGTTGTGCTGGTGTAAAATAAAATAGTCACAAACAGGTTTCCATACAGAAATACACTGTGACAATTTCTTATGCCTTTTATGAATCCCACACAATTCATCCTGTACTGTTTGACACATTGGTGTGCAAGCTAGAGCATATCAATGTCATGGATGTGCCAAGCACCATGGCACATAGTGGTTAGAAGAGTATCTAGGAAACCAGCAGTGTGGGCTTTGGCTCCCCATAGTACCTGTCAATCCTGCCTGGGTGAGGCAGGGAATGTCAGAGAACCTTAGCAGCTAGGTGCAACAAAAATCCTCAATGAGGTGTTATTAAACACACAATATGAGACGTTCAGACAAATTTTCCTGGTCTTTACTGCGGAGTTTATGGGCAATGCATAAGAAAAGATAGTGAGTCGCCCCTTATAATATTCAAACTAGATCGAAGTGGTTACAATGAAGCCTGTACCTTCACACACAGGTACATTCTCACCTTAAACCTGCAATAATTGCAGATGACAGCACTCAAAGCTTGCTGATCCGACACGAGCTCCACCGCTTACCCCTGCATCAGTGAGGAAGTCCTAACGGAAACAAGCGCCCAAACACCGACGAATGCCGACCAAGGCTTAGAAACCACTCCGAAACAGACTTCCGCACACAACAGGGCAATTTCATTGATCTGCACGATAAACTGTGCTGTCAAATGATCCTGGCGCGGCCGGGCGCCATAAACGTGAAATCTTGAACATCAATTGCTTCCATATCAGGGAAAACTATTTCAGCGCCGTTTGAAGTTGGGAACAGGGATCCGCGCTTGAAGGGCGAACCGAGGCGGCGGTAAGCAAATAGGAGCATGGTAGATATATCGCCTTGGTAGCTGTTGTTTTTTTGTCAGTGAATGCCATTTGCATCCATGAATGTCACTTTCTCCCTGATTTGGGGGAACAAATGATGGCTTTGGGGGGGCAAACCAAGATCTGGGGAGCTACTTCATCTGTAAATGGCATGTTTTGATAGGGCATCGTGAAAGCACATTTGTGTAGGCTAAATAGAGGAACAAAATAACGCTTAAAATTTGAGGGCAAGTGTCACCCCAGTCCATATTCCGCTTTTCCCTCTGTGCGCAAACTATATCCATGCTCGTTATTTTCTGCTTGTCAACTTTAACATTAGGTGTAGCTTGGCATGGCATGAACAGTTCTGCCATACATATTTTGGCGGTGCATGAGAAGACAGAGTGTTCTGTTCATCTGGAATAACACAGATCAAGTGGTAGATTCACCACATGTCAGAAAAGTACTCATCCCATGGGCTTTCACATGCATGTAGGAGGGCCCACTGCAATCATGCAGGCAGCATGTTAAAAAAAAACAGCCGCTGCCCTGGTTAACTGACACTTTACTCTGCTGTGCTTTGTGACTCAACAGATGCATAACCTTTTTGCCTATGGTAAAGTGCATGACACCTGAGATAAATCTGATTTTTAAAGCAACTCCTCTGGCTCTGTTAATGGTAATGATTAGTAATAGCCTTATTCCTCAGAGAAATATCAGGAGAATGAAAATATACATGGATTGATATGTCAGCATCATGCCTGTATTGAAATGATATCAGCTGTATCTTCTGCTGTCATTTTTAAAAAGGCATGCTGCCAAAATATCAACCCATCTATATTTCCATTCTCCTCATTTTCTGTGATGATTGAGGCTATTACTACTGTCTTATCTATGTGAATAATGTTTTCACCAATGCACTGAACAACTTAATGGTTAATGGCAATATTCCTGTGCAATATGGGGTGAGCAGCACAGTAACAGGAGACCCATCAATTGTCAATGTGTAGATGATACAAGAACCTATGCATGTGGAGGTAGGCACCTTTGGGAACCCATGCCAAGGGCTGTGTAGCTAGTTTCATGCCTAGCTAACCCATTTGATAAGATCCATGGCAGTTCTAGCTCCATACAAAAGTTGATCCATACAGGTTTGGTCAAATGTGTTGGGGCTGCAGTGACTGCCAAACTGGATCATCAAGGCCTGAGGCCTGTTTTGGCCCATCCTGTGCAGCTTTTTGTGATAAGTTTCATATTTATTTGCAAGGGGAATGGGAAGGCTTTATTTTTTGAAGATACCATAACAATTAAAAGGTGTATCTTATCACAGAACACTTCTGAACTTGTGATTGATTGCTCCAATTTTGTGAGCTTTTGGCAAGTGTAATGGCTCAGTTGGGCTGGGCTATAGTGAAAATGGCATTGCTGTTGTGGTGAAACTTGCCTGGTGTGCAGTCTTGCTTGTAACTAATGGGAACGTATGATTTTTCAGGCAATGGCTGCTCCGGTTCGATTATATGATGCCCATTACATTCCATTACCATCACAGGGTAATGTCTACAGCTTGGCATTTCTACAAGTGGACAGGGGAGTTACAAAAGTTCTGGTGGCATCATTGAAAAGAAAAGTGAGAGCAAATCGCATGTAAGAACCCTAACAGTCTGGCATGCTGGCTCATCTGATAACACACATGAAGTGTTCATTGTGTAACAAAGCAGCTAACTTATGCCATTGCATTGTCACTGTAGAGGTATTTTGTTTTCCACAACCCTCAAGGTGCTGTCCTGATGTCTCTAGCTCTGATTGTGAAATGGGGAAAAATTAAAATGATTAACAGCTGTGGTCCATCTCAACCGTCGATTAAGGAGTTAACATTTTTCTGGTAACTGATGATGCCACAACTTGTGCAAAATTCTCCAAGGATCACAACAATTTTGTAATGACTTCAAGGCTGTTTAGCACCTGGGATCATGTTTAATCTTAGAACCGGCACCAACTGATAGAGCGTGTTCTTGGGTTCCAAAATCAGATATGGTGTTGACAGAGGTCGAGGGCTAATGTCGGGTTAAGGTCAGATCACCCCATCACTTGCAATTTTCCTGTTTGTCTGGCTTGGCATACAAATGTGTTTGATGTGGAAATGAGTTAGCTATATGGTCTTACTGCTCACAAATGGTCTTGACAAATAATCTTGTTTCAACACCATTTGGAAAGCTGCCCTCATATTTTTTTCTGACGATGGCCTGTTGTGACCATGTGCAAAGTGGCCAGTGATGACAGATAGTGAAACAAGTTGATTTATTGCTTCAAGGCAATGAAACTGATGAATTACATCAAAGGAATCTGAAACAAGGGAGGAATCTTGGTTTTGCCGCATTTTGAGGCAAAGATCATTTTTTACAGGCCTACTTTGATGACATCTCAAATCATTGACCTGACCTAACATCAAAGTTATATTTGATCCACAATTTTTCAAACCGATAGTTTGTCAGGCTCTGAAATTTAGTGAAGGTGACAGACATGGTCTGCAAGTTCGCGAAAGCCAGATGGGTTACTTGTAACCCCCAGATGGTCATGGGTAAATGTGTCGGTCTTTTTCACTGGGCGCCCAGCAGTAAAACTCAATTGTCTTCATGTATTGTCCCAATTTATGTGCATCTTTACAGTGCCCTTTATGGCGGTTTCCCATTGTCATATAACTTGTTGCAGCTTTACCACACGTGTCATGACTTGCCTGGTCTCGTGCTCGACTCCTGCGGGAGTCGTAGTCGGCTCCGAAATCAGCCAGACTTCTGTCGAGTCTAGGTAAAATCAGTTCCTTTTTAAATAGATGCGAGTGGGATCTGGATTTGAGCCAACGTGATTTGTCTGCCTCATTGATATGTACACTCTGGTAAAAAGGTAGGTAACAGCTGTTGATCTGTCGTGCGTTGAAGCTCGTGCACATCGCGCTCGTGATTGTGGATGTGCAGCAAAGGGAGCGCAGGTCGCGTTATAAGCTCTCATGTCAAAAATATCCGACCCTAAACACACCAGGAGGTTATAGCTGAACAAATAAATCAGGCTATCAATGAGATATGTTAATTCAATGACCGTCGTTCCAGACAAGTGGAAGTGACATGTCAACAAGGTTTAGCACAAATGATGTGCTTTGGTTTATGAGCACCCCTTGTACGTTGGGTTCAAGCCGCTTTAAGCGCTCGCCTTTTGCACCTGGCCGCGCTGGCTGGTGGCTGATGTCAGTGGCTGCGCTGAAGGTCAGGTCTGGCATTCCTTGCTCGGTTGATGGGGCCAGGGCGCACCCTGTCAGTCGAATTGTATCAACTTTAAGTCAGAAGAGTCATTTCAAAACTGGAACGTGCTGCTCAGAGTCAAGGTGGGAATCACTCACCTCACTAAGTGTCAAATCGCCAGGTGTATTCGCTGGAGTATGTTCACGACGCGCGTGGAGTTCTGCATCCCACCGTCAACGAGATTCCCTTCACCTACCTGCCGGAGGGCTCTGAGATCATCTCTATCGATGCATTCAACAAGAGCGAGAACAGAGAGGAAATGGTGGTGGGATTTGCCATCATCAAGGTGAGCGAGGCGTGGTGGGGCACGGCCAATGCCTTTAAGCCGGTATGGGCTACGATGCTCGTGTTATGATGTTGATGATAGGGGCACGTGTGAGACGGGCGTGGGTGGCTGGGGTGGTGCCTGCCCTTCATGTCAGGGTGAGAGGCAAGCGACGCCATGCTGTACCCTCAACAGCTGACGGCGTGGCGAAGCCCTAATGGAAAAACAAACGGAACGACAGTTTTAATACACGTTATGGTCAATTGTATACAAGCCAACATATAGCGAGTAGATAAGATCGTCGCGTCGCACCGTTGTGCGAGTCATGCAGACGTTGCTCTGAACGCTCCGATTCACGCTGCTGAATGCAGCACACGGTACCGGTATTGCCCGAGGGAGAGGGCAGGGCCGACCCGCGGCTGTCAGGCCGGTGTGCGGTGCTGAGCGGTGACCGACCCCGGCTGTCGTGACGGCGTGAGGCGCTGGGCGGGGCCGACCTCCGTCTGTTGTGCCGGTGTGATGTGCTGAACGAGGTTTCCGACCGCTCCGATTGGTTGTCAGGGGATAGAGCAGTCGGTCAGGCGGCAGTCACCAGGTCACGTCCGCTGTCGGACGCCGATCGGCCGCTAACTGGACCTGACCTGACCTGACCTGACCTCACTCCGCCCCCTGCCAGGACGTAGACCGCGGCGACGGCAAGACGTCACAGTACCTGAACATCTACAGCGACTGGGAGCCGGAGTTTGGCGCCAGCCCGCTGGAGACGCTGGCGCAGAACTGGCGCCACGTGGAGCTGCCGTTCATCCCGTACCAGCTGCAGCACGCCGTCGTCGACATCAACGGCACGCTGGACGTGAGTGGTTGCAGTCGGCCGCCAGCTGTTTGTATGCAATTCCTGTAGTGTTCGGACGCACAGTGCTGACTCTCGGGCCTCTTGAGATGTCAGTATGCTGCGTCGCAGTGACCGTACGCCTGGGTGGGGCGTCATGCGACCAACGCAGGCGACACGCCCCAAAAAACTGAAGTCATTATCATGCGCGGGGCGCGAAGGCACGGGGGGGGGGGGGGTCACCGTAGGTCGTGGGCTGTCATTTTTGGGGAAAAAACGTAATCGTACGCCGGAAGCCGATAAGGATCGAAGCTATCCCTTCCGCCGTGTTCCAGCCCCCTCGTATTCTTTGTCTCTGGGGTCTCAAAGGGTCGACCGTAAACTGGAGCTAACGATTTGTCAGTCCCTTGCCGGGGACCAGACCCTTCACTGATAAGAAGAGCACATTTCCATCAGTAGTTTTTGTCACTCGGCGCTAAATCACATTCATTTTGTTTTTGTCTGGTTACGCACTGTTTTGCATTACAGACCTGTTTCCTGCTGAGTGGCAGCGACAAGACAATGCACTTGTATTGCGAGGATAAGCCCAATCAGAGCTTCCGCGAGGAGCCTCTGGAGCCGCTGTTCCCGGAGTTTGCCGACCTGCCATCTGTCGTCCTGTGGACGAACTTCTACAAGGACATACCCGGACTGTGGGTGGCACTAGAATGTTGTTTGTGGGAAAAACGATATAAACTTGTGTGTGCATACGAAGCACTTCAATGGACACCAGTGGGTCCCAGCCATTCCACAGACCTTTCGTCGATGGACTTCGAGTTGCAAAAAATTTAACTGCACGGTTCTAAATGTCACCTAGCTGTTCTTTATTATGCAGTCCTTTAATAACTTTAGCTGGTTTGCCCTGGTTTGACAAAGGTCGCTACTCTGGGTCACGTCCCGTCCCGTGACGGCCATCGCGGGTGGTCCGTCACAGTAGTACCGCCATCACCGCTGCAGCCGGGCCTCGGCAGACCTCCAGCGACCGCCGTCTTCCCGGCCTGGTACGCTCAGACGGCCCCCTCTCCCGTTGCGCAGGCGCGTGACGGCCCTGGCGTGCGAGTGCGGCTACATCCGGGTGAGCGTCGTGGACCTGTCACTCCTGCGCGTCACGCACGTCTGGTCCACGACACACGACAACCCGGTGACTTCCGTGCGCCTGTTCACCCTGGGCACGCGGCTGGAGGCGCCCGAGTTTGTGCGCGCGGCGCTGCGCGACCCGAGCGACCTCGCCACCCCTGCCGACCACCAGCCGCTGCACCTGCTGGTCACCAACGCGCTGATGCCGTCGGCGGTGTACAGCGAGCTGCCGCTGGCGCCCGGCCGGCCGCCGCCGCGCCGGCATCTGCTGGCCGACAGCGACGCCAGCGACGTGGTCACCTGCTCCTGCGTCTGCGACATCAACATGGACAGCCGCAACGAACTGGTGCTGGGCACCTACGGACAGGTGGGTGGCGGTGGCCCCTCCAACTGCACGGGTGCTTTAGGGACATCAAGCCCTTTGAGACTTTTCAACAAGACGCACAAGCGGCCTTGAATTCCGAAGATATTGTGGGTTTCTTCTCCTCTTCGCCCTTTGCTCTGCGGCGAAGCCCATGATTGCACATTTCTGTGCATCTCACGGGTGCAGCTGTAATTTTCGTCACGGTGGGGCAACCCGGCTTGTTGGAGCTGAAGCTGGAGCTGGAACTCAGTGAAAGCTCGTCACGCTGATTCTTAACTTGCCGTCAGGAGCTACCCCTACGTTGCGAGCTGTGGGGGAAAATGCGGGCCGAGGGGATGGGGTGGGGGGGGGGGGGAGGGGGCGTGTCAGTAGACCCCTTCTTGGTTGCGCCTTTGGTGCACCTCACGTGTTGAAAGTGGATCCTGGTGGCGAATGTTCGTCATCACCATCGTCCGAATTACGGCTACTCCGTGACCGGGTCAGTCGTGTGGAAGTATTCGCTGACAGCCGACGCCGACATCTCCGCCGTCTCTCACCAGGAGATCCTGGTGTACAGCCTGCAAGGCAACACGTGGGCGCAGATCTGGCGCCACAGCTTCTCGCAGCCGCTGCTCGGGGTCACTTACGTGGACCTGATCGGGGACGGCATCAACGAGCTGGTGGTGCTGACCAACCACGGGCTCCAAGTGCTGCAGGTGAGTCCGTGGATCGCTGCTGGAGTTGTTGAGTTGGTGAGCTGCGGCGGCATGGTCGGACGCTGGCTAGGCCTTAAGTGCGTTGGAAAACGACAGTGGTCATAACGCTGCCGCGGGTGGCTTCAGAAATCGCGCTTCACTTGACTGCAAGCTGTTGTAGTGAGTTGGGACATGAAAGTTGCGTTGTTGTAAGGAAATGCAAGGTGCCGTTGCGATGAGGGAGATGTGCGTCGCATCTGTCGCTGCGTTCCATTTGATGACGAACCCTGGACTGTAGTGACACCACCGTTAGGCCCATTTTAGGCTGCAATACTTCGATTTCAACTACGCTTCGAAATACGACGTGCGATGGCTGGATGGATCGCTATTCGTAGGTAGTTTGATTGCCCCAAACGGAACATCCGTGTTTCTTCGGTTGGACCGATTGATGTGCCTGTTGGTTATCATGTCCAGTGCACCTGGGTAGCGACAGGATGATCTGAGTGCACAGTCCCGGCTGCGCCCGCCGATCGCCGGTGCTGCGCAGCTTTTGCCATCGAATGCGCGTGGGCGCCGGTTTCGGGCCGCCAAGCCTGACCTGACATGACCTGACCGGGACCGGCGGTCGGCAGCACGACACGCGCGAGGCAGCCGCCCTCTGCCGCCAGCGGCTGGAGACGTTGAGCGGTCTGACCAGCGGCGACTTGGGTCGGCTGGTGGAGGCCGCCCGCCGACCGGCCGGCCAGCAGCAACCCTGACCTCGGCCGACTAGAAGAGATCCTGACCTCGGCCGGCCAACAGTGACCTTGACACCGGGCCGCGATGCCAGTCTGCCGCCCGTTGACTCGGGACAGTAATCCAGCCGCCCGACAGTAACGTGAACCGCGTGCAGCACTTCACTTTAAACACAGTGTAGATGTTTTCTACGTCGAAACATATCGGTTACCGGTGGTACAGCTGGCGGCAGCTCGGGCTGGGTGGCGCCACAAATGTCGCCCGGGCCGTGGCGGCAGTAGTCGTCACGACCGCTGGCGGTCGCGTCTTGAGACCAGGCCTTGCGGGCCGCACTGGCTGTGACCTGGTGGAAGCGGACGCCCGCAAGGCCGGGCAGGGCGCCGCGGCTTCATCCAGGCGGGGTCAGTCACGCGGCTGTCCGTCACCACGCTCACATCGCCCAGTATTTGTGCCTCGTTAGTTAGTCAGCACTGGTTATAGATCATGACAATCTTGGATTGGAAAGGAAGACCGACTTGTTTGCCATTGTATGCTACGTTGTTTCTTCCCGTGTGGCATTTGGACGGGGTGAAAGCGACGGTGATAATGTGACTGGGATCGTCTATGTCACGCCGGGTGGAGGCCGTGTGCACATGAGGCTGTTCAGGTGATGTGCAATTGCAGCTGAGTAATCAAACGTCTGTGTGGAGCTGATGTCACCGGTCCATTAACCAGGCTGGGGTCGGAGGGCGTACGTGAATGTTTGTGAGGCGAACGTACGCCTTCTGAATAACAAGGACCGACGTGGCTGTGTTTATGGGGGTACTCTGAGCCGGCTCCAAGGCTGCCGGTGAACGGTTCGGGTGAACACGGAGCCCGCTATGTCATATGTTCTGTATTCACACTATGGCTGCAGTTCATTAGCAAACTATCACAGTTCGAAGGATGGCGCCCCGGCGCGCACGACAGACAGCTGAGCACCACGTGAGCCCCGCCTCCACCCGCACACGGCCCACACCTCACGCCACGCGGAGTCCCAGCACGGCCCACACCTCACGCCGCGCGGGGCCCCAGCACGGCCCACACCTCGCGCCACGCGCGGCCACAGCACGGCCCACACCTCGCGCCACGCGGGGCCACAGCACGGCACGCATACGCGGGCAGACGCGCGCCCGGCTACCGCGGCCGCTGACGCTAAGCGAGCACGCAGCGCCCGGTGGCCGCGCAGTGGCCCGACAGGCGCAGCATCTGCTCCCAGTCGTAGCCGAACAACTCGAAGTCGAGCCGAAATCGGTGGCCGAGGCGCGCCACGGTGGCCGGGTGCACGGGCGCCAGGTAGCGCCTGGCGTGCTCCTCCAGCGCCGTGCTGTTGCGCTGGAGCGCGTTCTGCCGCGGAATCCTCACCGACGAGTAGATCTTCATTCGGTGCCACATGTACTGCGCGGAGGTACCGGCATCAGGCGTCAGTCGAGACGGCGGGCACGGATCAGACAGGAAGCATGGGTCAGACGGGAGGCATGGGTCAGACAGGAAGTGCGGGTCAGACAGGAAGTACGGGTCAGACGGCAGGCACGGGTCAGACAGCAGGAACGGGTCAGACGGCGGGTACGGGTCAGACAGCACGTACGGGTCATACGGCGGGTACGGTCACAAACTTCAGACGACCAGCACGGGTCAGACGGTGGGCGGCAGATGCCGGGCACAGGGCAGGCGGCGGGTACGACGATTGGGACGGCGGGCAGCTTGCTGCATATAGACCACACACTGGCGGCTGCGGTGACCGCTTTGGTCGTTCTCAAAGACTGCACGGTGAGAGCGCGGAAAGGTTACGGGTAAAGCGTGCCGTTATTGAACAGTAAAGGCGAAGTTCATGACTCGGGGATGAGCAGGGCTTTACCAACGTTCATCGCAACCGAAAATAACGACGGACAGGCAACAAGTCAGGTACATTTGGGTGCTGTGCAAGCTGTCATCCCGGCTCAGATGTAAAATCCACTAAGATTGAGCCAGCTGTTGCGGTGCTGCATGCAGCTGGCGGCTCCGCCCCACTGGCCGTGACATCGTTCCCCGTCGGTGACCCCCCGCCGGCGGGCATGGGCTCAAGGGATGCGCGAGCTAGCTCACCTTGAAGTCATCAGCGCCGGTTTCCAGCATTCCGATGACGTCATAGTCCATGTGGCAGGGCGCGCACTGTCGCCAGTAGGGCGTCCAGTGACTGTCGAAAGTGTCTCCTGCCCGCCGGCGACGCGCAAGGTTACAGGCGTGGGGATTAGCGCGCGCAGGCGAGACTCGTCCGACGCTCATCCTACGCCTCAGGTCACCCATCGAGGCCAACTCGTGTAGCCTCAAACGGGATGAGTTGGTACAATGCTGCTGCTTTCTTTGCTTCTCGTATGAACATTTGTGGTCATCGCGAGCTGTTGAAACAAACACCGTAGAATGACATCGTGGAATGAACTACGAAGCTGACATTATCGACATTCGCATTAACTGGATACTCGGAGCGAGCGTTACGTCTCGTCACCGTCGTTCTCGTCAAATGTAATCGGAGTCGCCGGTACGGACAGCTCCCGACGCGGAACCATCGAGACGGACGGCGAGACGGACGGCTGCCGAGGCTGTTTGATCGACCCACCGGTGGGCTCACTGGCCAGCACGAAGTCGAGGAACTCGGCGAATGTGGGCACGCCATGTCTCTGCTCCACCTGGCCCCGGTACTCGGCCAGCTGGGCGTCGTAGTCTGCCAGCAGGGCCGTGTCGTTCCCGGTGCCGGCCCTGCCGATGGTAGCTCACGTTACCGCAGTCGGACACGCCGGCTCGCACCGGACAACACAATGGTGCACCCGGGCCTCGCCGCTGGCGCACACCGACAGCACCGGGCGCCGGCGGTCGCTGCTGGACACGCCGATCCGCACCGGGCGCCGGCGGTCGCTGCCGGACACAGCCGGTTCGCACCAGCAAGCGTCACGCAACCGCACGTCCAGCCATTGCAGGACCTGCATAGTACGCAAAGATGGTAAAGTCCACCATTCCTATGGACGTTTCGTGACCGTGCTCGTTGAGCTGTCACGAACACGCGCCCATTGCAGGTCATGGCGTATACTGGGCATTGTCCTTGTGCGCGAATGATAAGAGTCCTCGCTGGAAAACCATTTCAACGAACTGACACAAAGCAGCGCGACCTGATTTAGAGTTCGAAGCAGCTGATACCGATCGCAATCGTGCCCCATTGCGCACCATAGGCATCGATCACGTCTGCTCTTCACCTCCGCGTCAGCAAGCGACCTTTACAGCTGACTGATGACATCGTTCGTTGTGAAAGGTACCGCGGCTGTTTGCTGCGCCGCATCACGCAGCACTAGCATCTGCCGTCGTCGTCGTCGTCGTCGTCGCTCGGCACCAGCTGGCGTACCTGAGCAGCTCGTAGACGCGCTGGCGTATGTAGAGGTCCTCGTGGGTGGCCAGTATGGACCTTCTGAGCGCCAACAGGCTGGGGTGGTTGGCACGCACCACCTTGTCCTCGTAGGCCGAAATCAGACGCTCCAGCGGGTGGCGCACGAACATAAACTTGAAATACTGCTTTTTAGCAAGCTCGAACTGGCCCGGCTTCTGTGCAAACGGGAACGTTGTATGATTAGACGGGGGATCGGACAGCGTACTGCAGATACACGAAGCTATGCATACAATGAAAAGAGGATATGCAAGTTCATGGCCTACAATCGAGCTCGCGTGACCAGTCGCGCATATCAAACAACGCTTTGGCCGCTGCGGCTTTCCGTTCTCTCCTCGATCAAAACACATCGGTTTGGCGTCATTGCAAGGCCAGGGCCGTTAACGTCTAGTCCCAGTCTCGAGTTCCTGGCCGCGGTCTCACCTCATGTTGGGCATGCCTTTTGGCTGCTGACACATTTGATGTCTCTTACGCAATGTGTCAAAATTCAGGGTTTTGGGTGTAAAATACATATTTTGTAGCGGTTTTGGACTTGTGGTTTGAACTGCCTCGTATTTTCCGTCTCCTATTCCTGGATAGATACACCACGTCAACGTTCCTGTAAGCACCACTTTGGCGTCAATAAAGAAATGCTATACCAATCTATTATTCCTGACATGTGCTCTATGGCAACACAAAGCAACGAGGCTGTTGCATTCATCTTTTTTTCGACCGGAGTTCACAGAGAATCTCCACTTGCAATCGGCCTCAAATGCTTAAACTCCATAAATTACTCTCCCATGCGAAGGTTTTTTTCTATTGTGGCCTTCCGAAACAAAGGAAAACAAAGAATGAAATGACGTCCGCCAAGTTGGCACCACATTCACATTCAGATTCAGGTCCATATTCGGGACTCAGTGGACTCCTCAAATTGCCCTGAAACTTTGCACACAAATGCAGTTTAGCCTCCTGAACACAATGAGCACACAATATCGGACCGGCACACCCTAATACCGGAGGTATATCAATATCAAAAATTGAGTCAAGGATGAAGAAAATGTGACCCATGCCCCATATATGCCATACCTAAGCAGCTTCGGCATTTGAAAAGCTATAACTTTTTTGATACAGCGTGCCGGTCCCAAATTTTGTGTTTATCGTTATCAGAGGGCTAATATGTACCAACGCACGGATTTCGGAAAGGATTGAAGGAGTCTGCATGTTTTATTGTGATCTTTCATATTGTGATATATCCAGTAATAGGGCGTACCGGTCCGAGATTTTGTGCTCGCTGCGCTCAAGAGATCCAACTGCATCTGTTTGCAAGGTTTCAGGCCAATTTGAGGAGTCCGCTGAATTTCGAATATGAAACTGAGTTAAGCATGATAAAATGCGGTACGTGCTGCATTCGCGACCTTGACATTATAACAGCTATAACTTTTTTGATACAGCGTACCGGTCCAAGATTTTGTATTTATCGTAAGCAGAAGGTCAATATCTACGAGCATGCAAAGTTTAGAAAGAATTGAAGGGGTCCGCCTTTTTTATTGTGATCTTTGATATGGATATATCACCGGTAATAGGGCGTACCGGTCGGATATTTTGTGCTCATTGTGTTCAGGAGGTTAAACTGCATCTGTGTGCAAAGTTTCAGGGCAATTTGAGGAGTCCGCTGAATCCCGAATATGGACCTGAATCTAAATGTGAATGTGGTGCCAACTTGTCAGACGTGAATGAAATGACACTTAAATTTCTAGCACAAATTGCCAACAGCTTGGGGCAATGTACATGCCATTAATTTATCTACACCTAATTTAATTGTCTTTCGATCGCTTAAGATTTGTTTGGAAACCTTCATTTTGCTACTGGTGTTGCAGCGCTCGTTCAAACATTTCGTCACCAGCCGGGGGTCTTACGGGAGGCGTCGGGAACCCGAAATGGAACCCTACGTTTACAGCTCATCGTGGGTGTGAAAATATCGTTGCACATTTGAAGGGATTTAGTATGACGCATCGAGATATTGTCTTGCTGAAAATGACCAACGACACGTAGATGCAGGATGTCAGAGAAGGAATTTACATCAACTAGGAAGGAACAAATAAAGTAACAAGTGTCTTGATATTGTACGCATGAAAACACGAATATGTTTGCACTCTTAAATTACTGCTGATATCAGTCTCTTTTCGGGATTTGGCGAGGACATTTCAGTCTCCGTGACACGTTTTTCTGAGGCGGTTCTGACACACTGCTCTTACATTAATAGAACGGAAAATGCCGCGATGCACCGAAAAATCTGGCCTGACGAAACCCCTTGGAGGCAAACGCCTTCAAATTTACACCGTTCGACTAAAAAAGTGCGCTTTTTGGTGCTGAAAACTGCAAGGAGCAGCGATCAGTGGTTGCAAAGATATTTCTTTCTAAGGGGTGCAGCGGCTGGACCCGGCCAGACCGGGTATATCAGATACAAGGTTCTCACGCTGTTGCCATAGGACTAGCGCAGGCAGTAACCGAGCTCGTAATGCAACCCATCAGCTGACATAATATCATCGATGGCAGACTTTATCTAGAGCTGGATGTCGTATCCAGTGAAAGTTAACTTTTCCGACAATCTTGCGACTGGCTTCTTCCGATATATCAAACACAACTGAAAGGGGCCACACCATTCACATGGCAGCAAATAACAAAAGTTAAAGCGAAGGCTTAATCGATGACGTGATTCCAACACACCTAGCATCGCAGATTCTCTATGCTCGTATATCAGCTGGGCAATAGGCATGTTTGCAGACATTTAAGTGGCCTGCGCGCCGTCCAGGGGTCAAAGGTTGCCGTTACCTCGCCTGACTCATTCTGCGACCGGTCGTCGGCTCCAGTGAAATTGAATTCATGAATGCGTCTTCTCACGAATTGCTAATGCACCGCATTACTATGCCAATGTCAAATTCGGTTTACTTTCTCTTGCTCCAAGGCTTTCGTTTTCACGGTCACTGTCTGACTAGCGAGAGGAATCATGAAATGTCAGCACCATTGAAATTTGAGCTCAGCAAAAAATATCATGAGCTTGAGATCACATTGGTTTCTTTACAACTCTCAGTGATTTCAAAAGAGGTTACGTTTTACTTTGGAATGCTGCGAATAGCTCCCAAATGCAATGATGAGCTATGACATTCGTTTCTTTTAAAACAAATACTACAGTCCTCGCAGATGGTTGCCCATCTGTTAGATCCAAGCCGGCAGCGATCGTTATCTGAATTCCGGTGATAATCCTCTGAATCCATCGGAGTAAGAAACGAGTAAAATCACTGAAATGGTGCAAATGAAAGCAACAAACCCTGGCAGGTGTAAAAAGCAGCGGTCTGTGATGGGTTTGTCGAAATTCGTGCGCAGCTTCGGTCTGATCTCACCGTCCAATGAGCGAAAACACAAGGCTGAAACGATCGGCACCGATCGCCGTTAGTTTGACCACTTCGCCGCGCTCAATCGCCCAGCCATCCACCGCAGTCAATGGGCTGGCCAATCAGCGCCAACTGTCGCCGATGACCGCCTGCAGTGTTCTGCTCATTAGAAAGTGTCAGCAGCTCTCCGAACACAGGCGCTCAAGAGATGCGCCGATACTGGCTGACGCGGAGCGAAGCAACGGCTTCACAGCACCAGCGGAGAAACCGGCGTGTGGACCGGGACTGGGAGCACCCCGGCACAGCTCGAGGCCGCCGGAGAAGAGCAATGTACCGAGGATGGCCAGCACCGGTGTGTGGACCGGGACTGCGAGCACCCCGGCACAGCTCGGGGCCGCCGGAGAAGCGCAATGTACCGAGGACGGCCAGCAACGGCGTGTGGACTGGGACTGGGAGCACCCCGGCACAGCTCGGGGCCGCCGGAGAAGCGCAATGTACCGAGGACGGACAGCACCGGCGTGTGGACTTTTTGGGCTTCAATTTTGACAAAACACATGCGAGAGCACACCATAAATGTGCGGCGCGCATTTGTACCCTATGCGTTGCTATACCCGGTGTGCCTTTGGCGTTGCATAGAAATGCAGTCAAATTGATGGCAGTAAGTTGCAGAGTGTCAATGCATCAAACTGCATGCTGGAATTTTTAACAGCGATCATGAAAACTCATAAAGATCGTAAGTACACACCAGCTGTTTGTGATGACATAAACACTAAGAACTGTACGCTTCTCTTGTTTATGCCAAGCATTGATTAAGTGTCGCATGCGTGGCGTTCATTTGTTGCTGCGAAACACGCTTCATGAATGGATCCTCAAGCAATTCCAATTTCAAGGTGCTGCCATTTAATGTCTTTCCTATGGTCAAAAATGTGGTTTTGCGGGATGACGCCTACGGTAATCGTCTCGCCCGCCGCTTGTTTCGCGTCAATTTCAGCTGATAACGGTGCTGTGCACAATCTTTGCGCCCGATTGGTCAAGTCACATTCATGCAGACCAGGCTCATCACTCCTGTTTTTATGAGTGTGGATGCGAGCCGAATAGGTCTTACTTGGGCTATGACGCAATTTTCAGCTCGATGACACGTGACGGCTGAGCCAGGTCGGCCAGGCCGCCTTGGCCATCACGCATTTTATAATTCTGTAATCACTGATCGAATGTTGATGTGGGTTTTAGTATCTAGAAACGAAATTCTTTTAAGATTGTACGGCATGTCTCTTAAGCAATTTGCGTGCACAAGTTTCTCCATCAGGCAGATTCTTCCTGTGTCCTGAATTTCTCTATGACCACAATTTTACTATTTTAGTTGATAAACGTGGCAAACATAAAGTTATTGAAAACCTCTACGTGTCAGATTGGGAAAAAGTCGATCGGGTGGGCCTGAGAAAACATCCGATTTACGGGGTAAGTTCGGTGACAAATGTGAACACTTTTGCGAGCTATTTGGTGACAGAAATTGCGGAAATGGAAACAGATGACGACAGCACATCCCAGTTGCGCGAAACTCAAAGCTTAGTATTGGTCTGCAATTAGTATTAGTATTGGTCTGGTCGCTACCGCTTGCATCGTGAGCTTACAGTTGCAGAGTGCATGCCGAAATATTGATGTTAGCGCTGCATGAGCAAACTTCACTAGGCGGTCAGTCTAGTGCCGGACACGTGGTCTTCCCTGTGCCTGAAGGGCGCTCCTGAGACGGGCATACGGCCCCCTCTGTGCCGGGCACCCGGCCGCTC